AGCTGCGAAGACCCTTCCATTCAGCCTTGCCACAGCCGATCTTTGAGCAACTTCAAGGTCTGGGTCGACTCTTTCCGCAACGCCAGTCTCTACCCCATCAACAAAGGTATTGCCCAAAATAAGGGCATTGCCCTTGGCCGCTACCCCGAGGACGTTTACTTCGATGGAAACCCTTGGTAGGTTTCTACTGGTTCAGACCACAGAAAAGAAAATACTAACGTGTTGCTAGGTACCTCATTACTATCGGCGCCGCCGAGTTTCTTTACGATGTGGTAGCCCAGTGGAATGCGCAGGGCCAGATTAAGGTTGATGCGACGTCGCGACCCTTCTTTGCCGACTTGTACCCGCCTGTCAAGGAGGGAACCTACCAAAAGAGCAGCAACATCTCCGGCGCCTACGCTAGTATCACCAGCGCCGTCAAGGCATACGCCGACTCCTTCGTCGAAATCGCACAAAAGTACACGCCCGCCAACGGCTCCCTCGCCGAGCAGTTCGACAAGATCACGGGCACCCCTCTCTCGGCACGCGATCTCACCTGGTCCTATGCATCTTTCATCACTATGGCCGAGCGCCGCGCCGGCCTTTACCCTCCTAGCTGGGTTCCCTCTTCTTCGGAAGTACCGGCTGCCTGCGCCGCCTCCTCGGTAACAGGCCTTTACGTTCCCGCCATTGCTGCCGGCGCCCCCAACGTGACAGGCTCTTGCACCGTCGCTGTGTCCTTCCTCGTTAATGCCACAACCTACTATGGCGAGGAACTCTACGTTCTTGGTAACACCGCCGATCTTGGCTCCTGGAATGCGGAGAACGCGCAGCCCATGACGGCGTCCAGCTATACAGCCGAACGCCCGTTGTGGAACGTCGACGTCGAGCTGCCCGGTGGCCAGAACATTACATACGTCTACGTGAGGCGTCAGAACTGCAACCAGGGCTACATCTACGAGGAGAGGAACCGCACACTGGCGGTCCCTCCTTGCAATTCGACACAGAACCTGGTGACAGACGACGTTTGGACGGGGCGCCAGGGAACGAGTGGTAGTTGCTAGAATTGGCATGGTGTCGCTGGTATATAGAGGCATGAATTGTAATAAAGAGAAATTTTCCGCAACCACACAAATTTTTTCTCCTCAAGACCGGAAGGCTCGCTTAGTTTCCAAACATGTTTCCGTCCGGGTTCCCCATCATGCCTGGCCCTCCCATGTTGTTGCCGTTCAAGGGAAAGCCTCCGAAGCCCCCCCCAAATGCCATATATGTGTCCATATCATACCCCTGCATCAAGTAACTCCAGTCCATGTCAACGACATCGCTCTCTGGCGCTGGTGGGCCGCTCATTGCCGGTGTTCCCGCACCCACGGACGGCGGCGTCATCATTATGTTCTGCGGCATTTGCATGGCCCCAAGCTGCGACGTGCTGTTGACCGACACAGCTCGGGCTGTCTGTTGCGGGATGCCGGCGCCCATCTCCGCACCAGCCTGACCGCTTCGCTGCTTCTTGCCCATTCTCTCCGCCCTCTGCCGGAGCCGCGTGATCCACATTGGCTCCTGCATCGGCTTGCCGATCTGCTGCTGCCCGGCCTCGTGTGCGTCCCAGGCCTTGATGAAAAGGTTGCCAAACGCGATGTGCATGGGGCTATGTAGCGTGCTCATAAGGCCACGCCGCTCATGATTCTCGGCGATGGCGTCCCACGCGCGCTCGACCATCGGTCCGGTAAGCCGGTGGCGCAGCTCCGTCACCAGGAACATGTACGCCGGGAATGGAAAATGCAGGTACGTGTACCACTTGTACCCCTGCAGGCTGTCGGCAGCTTGAACGATGTTGTCGTACTCGATCATCTGTATGGCTTCGAGGAAGAGAGTATCGCGCTCGTGGTCTGCCAATGTGCTCGCCTCGCCGTTGCCCATCCTCACGAGGAACGAAATCACGCGCATCTTGCACAGCGCCTGACGCGTCATGGTGAGAGTGAAGAAGTGTAACGGGATCTTGGGATCGCACCACTTGAGGTATGTCCCCTCGATATGCGCGAAGAATCCATCGAGCGTGTAGCATTGGTCCTGGCCAGCCATGCGAACAGTCGGACCGGGGCGTGGTGCGACGGACCCTAGGGCGCCGTCCTTGTCGCTGTGTCTTTGGGGGTCCCGCATGCTGTCGATGTTGATAGCCATCGCGAGCTCCGTCCGGATGAGGACGAAAAGCATTTCGGTCACACCCTGGTGGGGGGTCGGGGCGTCTTTTCCATTGACGTGGAGGTCCGTGTCGTTGATATTCAAGGGTAGCTTGCAGTCCCCAGCTGTAGATAGGGCAGTCACAGTCGAGCCCGTCATCTCTCCTATCCGACGGTCGTAGCCTACAATCGTCCACCACAGCCGCCGCCTCTGCTCGACTTCATATGGCGACAGGCCGAACGCCGCGGCGTCTCGATGGAGACCCATTCGTTGGGCTATTCTCACGGCGATCCCGACAAGACAGAATATCTGGCGCGGATCAACGAACATGCGGACCCCGATCTGATCTGTTAGATGATTGTCCCAGGTGCTGAAAACACGGCAACTCACTAAGTAGAGCATATAAGCCTGGAGAACCATCGTATCGCTTGTGCGCATGAAGCCGGCATTGACCAAGGCTTGTTGGAGCCCCGTGTGAAACCTGGAGAGGACGGTGGGCTTTGGTTCATTAAACATCTTTGCAACCTCAACGTCCTCGAGTGAGGTGACTGCCATGAGGTATATCGCAAACATAAGCGATTCGACGTTCTTGGGGATCTTCTCGAGGTTGGCGCTGGCCTCGATGATGAGGCCCTGAACCGTTGGTACATGTGTGATTTTCAGGAGGGGGTTGACGTTGTTAATGTAGATCTGCCAGAGTTGGAAGATCTGGATGGGCGATGGGTGGAGGTGCATCACCGACGCATTGCGACTGCCTACAACAAACGGGAAGCCATCTTGGTTGTCATACATCTTGTCGAAAGCGTGGTGGATCGTTGAACCATCAACCTCGTCTTCTGAAGAGTCTCTGAGTAGCTCCTCGCTAGCTCTGAACTGCAACGCAAGTCAGATGAGGTCCGTGAATGGGAGCAGAGAGGAGTGGCAAACCTCTTTGTGAAAAGGAAACCATTTGTTGAAGGGTCTAGATCAAAGGCCTGTTAGCACATGGCCAGAAGTAGAAAGAGGGGTAGGATTGCGCACTTGTCGGATTGCGACCTTCGGCTACCTGCAACGGAAGGGGATGTGCTCCCCTCGGGAGAGGTCTTGAGCCCTTCAAAGTCGTTCGCCAGGTCGGCATCGTCGTCGATCTGATGGTCGTCGTCCATATGCACCGAGTTCCTATCCGAGGCCTTGAGATCCGCGGCGATGGGATCGAACTTGACGCCATTCTCGGCTAAGAGGTTCTCATATTTCTTGAGTCTGTCGACAAGATCCCGTTCTTGGAGCCGCTTCTTCCGCCGCCTAGGTGGTTGTGGGGGTATCACTCGACACTCTACGCGGGCCTTGACACAGTTGGCACACGGCTTGTTCTTGTCGCAGCGCACCTTTCGTTGCTGGCATAGCACACATGAGGTGCCCCTGGTAAGCTTCATGGCTGCCATGGGGTCGGGTTCGGGTGGAGGAACCCTCGTCGGGGGTGGGAGCTGAGCTTCTCCCGGCATGGTGTTGTTATGTGGATGCTGTTGGTCTTTGACATGCGAAACGATGACACGCCAGCCGCCTTGCAGATGTCTTTGTCGGCTGGCTTGCTACCGATTCGGATCCGAGGGGGGACGTTGTAGGCGAAACGCTGACGGAATGGGGCATATGTTTAATAACGAAACCCAATGAATAAACAAGGGGACCAGATGCCGCCAAGAGCTCGCCAAGGTTTCTCTGGGAGGATGCAATTGAGTGGAATTAAACAATGGACCTTTTGACGGGGGTTTGTGTTACTGTCCGAGACACTGTCGAGGTGAGTATGCCGATGTGAGCGGAGGACTAGGAGAAAGCCCTCATAAGCTGCTGCGTAGTGTAACTGCGCCCAAAACAACCAGACAAGATACGTGAAGATGTGGGTAGCAACGATAGACTTGGATCACATTTCGTACAGAGAGCGACGGTAATGTCAGAGTAAACGGATAGACGGGCATGTAGAGGCCTATGAGACGAACGATATGGCCGCGGTGTATACAGTCCGGTGCTACTGAGGCTCTTCGCCAGCTCGGGCCTGGTCTTTGATCACTTTAGTGAGACCGCAAGGGCGAAACTCGACGGTGTGAGATGCTGTCTGAGAGAAAGAAGCACAAAACGACATGAGATACCCGCCCGGGACCGAACCATGTAGCATTAGTGCAGCTCAGCAGCGCCCACAATCCAAGCCCCCTTTTACTGGCTGGTCCTTAGGCCTTACATAAGCCGGACATCTGATCGGAGGTGCCCGAGTATCCGACGCTAGGCTCTAGGCGGTTAAACGACGCGCTCTCCCGGACACAACATCAACCTCCAATGCCCGAGCAACGCCATGTCCGTAAACCGACAACAATGAATTGAACCAACTACGAGTCTTCTCTGGACATCCCCATCGGCCTCGATAAAAGAGGCCTTTGCATCTCGTCATGGATTCTATGCTGAGACATCTCTTTGAATTAGGATGGACTGCGTATGAGCTTCGCTTCGCGTCGCGCGCTCGGCACCATGTTGGACGGACACCGTCGTCCACCGCGTCTCTCTGCCTGCAGAAGGTGCTACACTGGCCATATATAACGATAATCGTCCTAGTCGATATATCATTTAGTGCATTTCCTTCGTCAGCAGCCCAGCATCTAGTCCGAACGTGATCTGTAACCTGAGACCCGACCGTGCGCTCGAGAGTGCGGACGAACCTCTAGTTCCTCGTCTGTCCATTAATCAACAATTTCCCGCTTGCCAAGCCAAAACCTGTCTGCATCTTGATTTTGTTTTGTTTACCCTTGTAGCTTCCTCGGAGTCTCAATTCTCATCTGTCTACTGTTGGCGCACCGGGTTATACGACAATTACAATGGTTGGTACAGCCGCGAAGCCCTCTGCGGGCGATGGCGCTGTCGAGAATCGCGAGATCGAGACGTCAAACAGCTCCACGCGGACGTTAACCCCCCGAGAGAGCGAAGAGCGCCAAGAGAAGAAGTCGGAAGAGAAGCCTGCCGAGGTCGAAATCGCGAGCGACGAGCCAAAGGAAAAGCGGCCGCTCCAGTCATCGGCAATATCGTCAAACGAGAGCCAACTAGATGTGTCGAAGCAGCCAGATATGGATGAGAAGGCTGACCTCGAGGGACCGCCGGTGATAGGGCCACCCGTTGAGGTGGATGAAGCCGAGGAAAACTTCAAGCCCAAGACCGTTACGTTCTGGCTTGTCATTCTATCCAACTTTGTGGCCATGTTCCTGGTCGCCCTAGATCGCACGATTATTGCAACGGCAATCCCTCGCATCACCGACGAATTCCAGAGCCTAGGCGATATTGGTTGGTACGGCTCGGCTTACATGCTGACAACCGCGGCTTCACAACTGGTCTTTGGTAGAATCTACAAATTCTACGATCTGAGAGTGTAAGTACATTGAATTGGCCAGTTGGGCAGGTGGAGGGAAGAAGTCATCCGCTGACAACAGGAAACCAGGTCATTCTTGAGCAGTATTCTAATCTTCGAAATCGGTTCCCTCATTTGTGGTGTTGCGCCGAGTTCACCGGTACTCATTGCGGGTAGAGCCGTTGCCGGCGTCGGCTCGGCTGGTATTTTCACAGGCGCTATGATGGTCATGATCCCCATGATCCCGTTGCACAAGCGACCGATGTTTCAAGGTAGGATTGATCTCGTTACCATATCGACATGCGCTGACGAAGAAAGGAATTTTCGGTATGGTTTTTGGCCTGGCCTCTGTGATAGGCCCCTTGGTTGGAGGTGGTTTCACAGGCGCTGTTACCTGGAGGTACGTCGTCGTTTGAACACTTGTGACTGGAGAAAGACTTACCATACATACGCAGATGGTGCTTCTACATTAACCTTCCCGTGGGAGGCGTGGCTTTTTTATTTCTTTTTTTCATGCTCAAGGCACCCAAGCGGCAGGCCCAGGAGCCGGTGACGCTATACCAGCACTTCAAGCGACTCGACCCCCTGGGGACATTGTTTTTCCTCCCGTCCATTGTGTCCCTCCTCTTGGCGTTGGAGTGGGGTGGTTCTGAATACGAGTGGAACGACGGCCGCATAATTGCCCTCTTTGTTGTGTTTGGTGTTGGCTTTGCTGCATTCGCTGCAGTACAGGTCCTCATGCCCAAAACAGCCACGGTCCCCCTCAGAATCATCAAGCAGAGGACGATGCTGGCCGGTGCCTTCTTTATGCTCTTTCTGGCTGGTTCTATGATGCTGGCAGTGTACTACCTGCCCATTTGGTGTAAGTGACGATGATTATCTGATGCAGATGACAAGTTGACACAGCCCATAGTCCAGGCCGTTCAAGGGGCCGATCCTGTCAATTCAGGAATCTATACCATACCACTGGTTCTCAGCATCGTCGTGTCTTCCATCATATCGGGCGGGACGACGCAGAAGATTGGTTACTACGTGCCGTCTATGATCCTCTGCCCATGCATCATGTCCGTGGGTCTTGGTCTAATGAGCACATTCCAGCCAGGCATCAGCTCGGGGCATTGGATCGGATACCAGTTCCTGACCGGCTTCGGCCTTGGATTTGGTATGCAGACTGTCGGGCTCGCAGTGCAGGCAGTATTGCCCAAAGAAGATGTCTCGACGGGCGTCTCGATCAGTTTCTTTGCTCAGCAACTGGGGGCGGCTGTGTTCGTCTCGGTTGGACAATCCATTCTCAGCAACTTGCTAGTGTCTGAGCTGTCGACAATACCTGGCTTGCCAGCTCAAGCCATCGTCAAAACCGGTGCCACCAACTTGCACAAGGCTGTTCCGGCCGAGTTTCTCGGCGTCGTCGTCCGGGCTTACAACTACGCCTGCACGCGTATCTTCCTTGCCGGTATGGCGCTGTCCCTGGCGACGCTCGTCTGTGCGCTTTGTATGGAGTGGAGGAATATCAAGAAGAACAAGAAGCAGCAGCGAGCGAGGCAACGTGCGAGTCAGCTGAGACCAGGGGACATGGGGGCGTAAGGGGAGAAGTAATGATGGTGACTTGACAACAGAGGAAAGATAACACACAAACGATATTGCATTAAACGGTATTTGATAAACGCATCGCCCCTCCTTGTCCAACAGCCACACGGTCGAGACCCAAAAGGCGCCTACATCCCGAATCGGCGGATGGAATTAGTAAGGGACAGAGACGAAGGATCGGTGATCGGCATCACCGTTGGTCACGGAGAAGTGCGAGAGAGATGGGAGTACAATTGCGGGGCACCACAAATGCCGGCCGAGATACATTCCGCCAATGCTGAGGAGGAACAGGTCCCAGACAGACTATCGCGTTAACGTTATTTCCATCTCTCCAATCCACGGCGCCTCCCAGAGAAAAGAAAATTCCTCCCAGGCAATAGGCATTGAGGACCCGGTCTTTGTCGGGGAAATCGGAGTGGCCCCGATGAGAGAAGCCCCACTCCATGTACCTACCAAGAGACGAGTCCGGGGCTTGCTTCGTTCTCAGCCCAGTTCGTCTTCCTCATAGCAGCTGCGAGACTTCCCAACTACTTATCGTCCCAACCAAGCTTACATGCAAGGCTGACTGTCCTCTATCCTCTGGCCACAGCCCCCAACCAGCTTAGCCTAGGTTGCCTATGACTTTAATTCAATCTCGTTCTATGAAGACCACCAACGCCGGCCTTAGTTTGCACGTTGTTGGCGACATAGCAGCTGACTTCTAGCTCCAACCCCGCCCGCCTACGCAGCATTCCCGGGTGTTTGTAGGCAAGAGGAACACTGCTTCAGCCCCTCCAAAGCTGACATGTCTAATTAATAAGTATATGTCCTCATCAGTTCGTGCTAACGCACGTCCATCATCGAGTCTCTTGAAGATTGAGCGGCTGCGAGAGCTGCGTCTGACGTTGATCGTTAATCGTCGCTTAGTCTAGACTCCATTTCTTATCCGCCAGCCCTAAACCGAGGATCACTGCGCCAATCCCCGGGTTTTGTTCTGGCTAGTAACTCTCGTTGACTCAATGGCATCCATGCTCTATGCCGGTGAAGATGCCATGGTGACGCCAGAGCAGCAGACCGCTCTCGCGAAACGAAAGAGGGCAAGTAAGCCCAAAGTTGCCATTCTGCAAGACTACCCTCAAAGGGAGAACCTGTGGGACGGCAACTTGGTGCATAGCCTGCTGGTTACCGTCGAGGATGCTAATTACAGACTGACAGATCTCTTGGAGGAGCCCCCTCATTCATTGGCATTTGGGAAAGGAATACCAGCTCTGTATGAGAAGTTGCATGGGCCACACATTCAGGCTGATGGAAATTAAGATGGGCTGGGATCTGGCAGCGATTTGCGGACCCCAAGAATGGATTAGGAGGTAACGATGGAGTTGTGTGGGCAATGAGACGAGCAGCTGCTCGGAAATAAATCTATAGAGCCAGGAACCAAATCCATCGGTCTCGATCGTCCGTCCTGCTTTGTCCGCTGTGGATCGACTCATTGTCTTCGACAGCTCACTCCACAAGAAAGGCAAAAGCACTGAAAAAATCGACATAAAACTAAAGTGAGTATAGGAAAGGCCCGATAGACGTGCTGCACCCTGCGTCACGTTCCATATTGAGCATAGGCGGACCTAGAAGACATGGGGTAAAAGTGTCTATACCTTGCATTCTCTACGGATATGTTCACCAAAGTGGCCGAATAAACTGCGTAGGTAACGCGTCGTTGTGATTGTAGATAAGCTGATGGGTACGTATCTTTTTCTCAGTTTGCGGGGCAAACACCGAGGACCAGCTTGCTTCCCTTGAGCTACAGTCCAACCAGTTACAACACCAAGCTGCGCGACCTTGCTGCACGAGCTATTGCAACCCTGCGCCTCACATTAATCGACCACTTCAAGCCTTTTCAATGGTGCAGGATGGCAGCGTTCCCTCATGATATACCTGCGATTGCCGATGAAAAAACGGGGTTTGACCTCAATGTTCAGCATGGGCACCATGACCTTGTTCAAGCGGTAGCATTCAACGCCTATGGCGACCGCTGCGCAACAGGTTCTGTCGATGGAAAGATCAAGGTCTTCAACCGGTACAAGGATGGCATCTGGCATCATTGCGATACTTGGGGTGCACACGGAGGAGAGATCTTGGAGGTACGGAGGGCTTCCTGCCCCGGATGTAAGCTTAACTGACCGTACTTCCTCGCACAGCTCCAATGGCTACCCCCGACCGTATACCCAAACCTCATCGCCTCCCTCGGCATAGAAGGCCGCTTCAAGCTGTGGGCGGAAGATCCGTCAGCAGCACCGGGCCGCCGCTTCAGCGCTAGTAACCGTGCGACGACGAGTAAGGCCGCCTACGAGATGCGATCCGCTAAATTCCCCTATCGCTCCTTTTCCATGAAGTACAACGAGGAGACGCGGCACACCTATCTCGCCCTCCTCGCTTCCGACGGCCGTCTGGTGGTGTATGAGAACGAACAGCCCGAAAATATGTCCGAATATACCGCTATCGACGAGTTCAGCGTCTGCCCGAAGCCGAACCGTGGCGAAGAGATAAGCTTCAAGGTGCGCTTCGACCCGAACCCGGACCCGTGCTATAATGCCCTACGGGCAGGAGTGTCTAGCGACTCGCTGGGACTTGTTGTCGCCGGTATGTCCTCGGTCAAGATATACCGTTCCAGAGACATCATTGCGACACCGTACGGCGTACCGCAGACACAGCGCGAGTTCTACCTCGCGGTGGAGGTGGGTGTCCACCGCGGCCTTGTCCGGGATGTAGCGTGGGCACCGGGAAACATCAGGGGATACGACACCATCGCGACGGCCTGCCAGGACGGGTTCGTCCGTGTTTTCCGGATCGACACGCCGCACTCGCCTGACGACGGTAAGACGTGGTTCACGACGGAGCTCATGAAGCACGAGAACCACCACGCACAGGCGTCGTCGAAGGCTGGGCAGCCACACGATAAGCATCACCAGTCGGGTCTCACTGTCAGCCTGGCCAAGTCCGGCTCGCATGCAGAGCGGCACTTTTCGGGGCAGCCGGGGCAGGTGAAGCACATCTTCAAGGAGGTCGCGAAGCTTGACAGCCACCGCACACCCGTCTGGCGGGTTGGCTTCGACGACGACGGTCAGATTTTGGCCAGCACCGGAGACGATGGAAAGCTCGTTTGTTACCGCCAGACCCCGAGTGGGACGTGGGCAAAAAGTTCGGAACTGGCCATGGTGAAGACAAGGATGGCGACGCCTTGAAAAAAGTACGACGTAATACTGTACTATCAAGTATAAACGATAAACAGATGACCAGTACCGGTGTCTGGCCGACAGAACGGCAACGTCATTTGGCACGGCTGAAGGGACAAGGAAGGATGCACACATCGTTCCATTCACCAAGGAGCCCGAACTTGCTGTCAAGGTGCCAAAAAGGTTTTGTGGTTTGTCAAACGTACCGGGCACCAGCAAGACCAATCTTTGACCTGTTTGTCCTAGGTTCGACTTTTTACCATCACCGACACCACCAATGACTAGAGGGGCCGCAGGATGGGCTTCACATATAAACCCAGGGGAGCACGGTAAATCGTCAGGGAACAGTTAGCATGTACAAGGAAACGATTTTGATGTTAGATACCCAATTGAGAGACTTCACAGCCTGCGCTGTCTCAAGTAGATGATTACCGAGTGCCCTTAATTACACACATCCTACAATTTGTAGGTTATTTCGTAGCCTTCTAACTCATCTTCCGTCCGGTACGATCATCTACTTTCTGCGCTTCTGGCCGCCACCACCAGCCCCTTCGTCGGGTGCCTGGCGCTTACGCCCATTTTTGCGCCAAAACTCCTTGCTTTCCTTCTTCTCCCTCGCCTCCTTCTTTTCCTCGGACTCAGCCAGCTTCTTGCGGTACTCCGCGCGCTTCTCCTCCTTCTTGGCTGCGCGCTTGGCCACCTTGTCATTACGGATCGTCGACAGCTGCTGCAGCAGATTGCGGGCTGTCTTCTCCTCCTTGGTCAAGACGACAGCGCGCTTCTGCATATATGTGTCCTTCTTCTGCTTGCGCGTCTGGACGATCTGAGACTTGAAGGGCAGCTCGGCGGCAAGCGCACGGGGCACACGCAGCGGGTTGAAGTGACGCGTCTCGCGCTCAATCTTGCGGTACTGGCTGTTCTTCTGCAACGGTGTCTCGACGCCCTCGGCTCTGCGCACCTCGCCTGTCAGCCGCATTGCCTGCCACCCGATCAGATTCGTCACGGGGTTATAGAAGCGGTGTGGCTTGATCGGGTACCATGCGCGCAGAAACACAATGTCGCTGTATAGGATTTTGTCCTCAAAGGTGGCGCGGAAGTGTCCCTCGGGCTTTGAGAGTGCGCGCTTGATCTGACCGCGCACACCAGACACCGTCTTGATGGACGCGCCCTCGAACTTAGCAATTTCGAGCGACGTGTTGAACATGCCCTTGATGAAAGCAGTGTTCTTGTGGATCTTGTCCGCCGTACCCGTGAGCTTGAGCTTCTTGACGATTTCGGTCGACTCATCGACGCTGAGCACCGTGCCCGTCGCCGCTATCCGGAAGCCCGGGTTCGCTGACGAGAAGGACTGAAAGCACACGAAGCCCGTGTTAGGCGCGATAAGCGGTCCATAAATGGTGCCGAAGCAGTGCATATGTTCCGGCGTGTATTTGAGCATGCGGTTTCTTGTTCTCGAATCCGAAATGCTGTAGATGGGCAGTGTCTGAAACCGCCGCCAGCCGAGGGAGAAGATCAATGGGTCGTTGGTCTTTAGGATCTTCTTGTGCCAGCGGTGCTTCTTTATGCGCACCTGGACGAAGCCGAAACGGTCTTCAGTGGGCGACAGACCACCAAGGATGATGGGGTTGCGGGGGTTGAACTTGGTGACGAACTCTGACGGAACGCCCTCAAGAACGATCTTCGCGTACTTGCCAGCTCGGTAACCCTCGACAGCAGTCCTTTGCCTCTCGTCGAGTGTCTCAAACTCCGCCTTGTTGATGTCGAGTTGCTTCTGGATCACGGCCTTTTGCGCTTCGTACCAATCGTCCTCTCCAAACTCCTGGTCGCCACCCTCTCGCCGGGCGTTGGCCTTGTCGTTCATGAACCCCTCCCTGTCTTCCTCCTCGAAGCGCAACTTTAGATCTTCTTTACGCTTCGCATTCTTTTCACGCTCGTCATCAAAAGCTTCTTCGGCAGGCTCTTGCTCGGCAGAGTTTTCGGCTCCGTGCTGTTCACCCGTCTCAAGATCCTCGAAGACACCGTCACCTTCATCATCCTCCCCTTCGTCGTCGATGCCGTCAAACTCATCTTCCTCGTCCCCGTCGTCTTCATCGTCATCACGGAGTCCTGCAGTGGTGAAACGCTTCCTCAGGGCCTCAACATTCGCAGCTTGTGACCACTTCGCCGCCAGATCCTCGTAATCATACTGCGGTATCGATCTGTCCTCCACCTTATCTTCTTTGTCCTGCTTGGACTTTTGGAAGAAGTCGTCTTCTTCGTCCGCTTCGATGTCCTCCTCATCTTGGTCGTCACCTCGCCATTTTTGTAATGCCTCCTCTGGTGTCAAGGAGTCCTCGTACATGTACCTGGCCAGGTCCGGTGTATGGTATGAACGCCGTTTTCCGTGGAGCTTCTTTGCACGCTCCGCCATGTTTTCCTTCCACTTCATGGCGGCAGCCTCCTCGTCCGAGTTGAAGTCTGAGTCGTCCATATCCTCGTCATCTTCATCTCCGTCCTCCAGCCCCGATAACGAACCAAGATCGGAGTCACTGTCGGCAAAGGCAATGTCGTCTTCATCGGCGTCCTTCTCAGTGTTCTTTCTGAACATCTTGCCCAGCTTGCCTTCGTTGAACTCCTCCTCAACATCGGACTCGCCGTCCTCTTCGCCGCTAACAAAGCCCTCGTCGTCAACCTCGACTTCGGAATCATCGTCACGGTCGGCGAAGCGTGCGTGTCTGGGAGTCTTTCTGCCAGTGTCCTCCTCCTCGGGGACCTGCTTGATTTGCTCGCCTCCCTTGAAGAGCTGTACACCCTCCTCAGTCTGGCCCAAAAGTTTCCGCTCGCCTTGCAGTCCAACGATAAGCTCCTCACCCTCACCCATCTCACCTTCCTCGGCGTCCCTGTCAAATGTGAATCCTTTTTCTCTCGTGATCCAAATGGCGTCACCATCAATTTTAAGACCACTGCGGTCAGACATGGGTGCATGCAGCTTCTTCTCCTTTTCGTCCAGGCGCCGCCGCGTCGTCTTGCCGGTGACCTTGGCAATAGCTTGCTCCATGGCTGGGGTAGGGCAAGGATCCGGGAGGACTTCTAGATTCGCGACAGTGAAGTCGCCAAGACCTGGGACATGAATCCTCTGTCCTTGGGAGGCGAAATTGGTCCCACGCAGGTAGCCCGACAACACAACTGAACGATCGCACTTGGGGTCCTCCTCAATCTTTGTGGGGTGGGTGATGTCTCGGTAGCTGTCGATAATGGTATACGGATGCGAGTTGCGCCAAATTAAGGGTCGAGGGTTCTTCATGACGGACAGGAAGCGCGAGAGGTTATGGACTTCACGGTCGGGGTATCGGCCGTTCATGACTCCGGAAAGATAGAAGAGGTGCGCGCCCTGATATAACTCGCTCCATAATCTCCTCTTGAGCCGCTTCTTCGCATCTTTCAGGGCTTGGGGCTTCCGGAAGAGATCGAGATGCGTAAGGATACCGAAGACGTTACCAGGCATGCCGGTGGCGGCAAGGATGTTGAGAAACTCCATCGTCTCCATCTCAAAGCCGTAGTTTCCGTCGATCATTAGCAGAACAATGTCTGCGATCTTGGCCATGTCGACCATCGCCTCAAGCTCATTGGGACACTCGACAAAGGTCAATCGCTGCTTCTTGGAGGTGACAACCGTGATGGGTCCTTGGGGGTCGGATAGTGTCTCCTTCGCGTATCTTCTAATCAGAGACTTGAGCAGGGTCGTCTTGCCGACACCAGGGGGTCCGACAATGGTGACCAGCCTTGGGGGCGGCTCATCGGGAAGGCGATCGACTTGGGGAACATGGAAACGTCTTTCCTTGATCTGTTTGAACGTATACGTTAGTCATTGTGTAGGGGCTTTGAGGAGGATGCGTACATCTGAAGATCTTGCGGCAGATCTGGCAAGCTTTCCGGGGTTGGAGAAGGCAAAGGCCTTTGGGTTTTTCTCTGGATGGCTATTAGTAGTGCGAACTGACAAACTTAGCAGCACAGAAGCAACCTACCCCCAGTGTGCTGCTTGTTCTTCTTGTCCTTGGACTTGCGATGAGGCTTATGTACTTGGTCCTCCATGGTGGCGTTAAGGGAACCCAACTGTATTGGGAGATCCTGTAACTGCACGACAAAAGACGGGTTCCGGTGGTTTTTTTTTTTCTTCTTGCTTTTTTGCCTCTGGTTCGCGACTGGACGGGCAGCGATTCAAAAATTTGTTGCGGGCCAGACTTATCTAATCTACTTATCGATAATGATTCAGGCCCCACAAGTCTCTATTTACCGTTAGTGTTATTATTAGTTAGGTAGGTTCGTAACTACTTTACCCCTCGTCCCCGTGCCCCTCCTCTTGGTCAACTGTCTGTGAACATGACCGACCGCCTACCTAGTAGGTTATTCGATAAGAAAGAGGATGGACGAAAGCAGGCCACAGGATAATGTCTGCCTTCTTGGCCACCTTAGAGAACTACATCAGTGGTCCATCATTATCATTATCATTAGTTTTAGAGAAAAACTTCACCTCGGCTGACCACGAGTAAAGCATTGGTAGCCTGAAACACTGAAAACAGCCTCCATAAAGACAACAGTCTTCCTGGTACGATAACCGTTAAGATTGCAGCCGCAGTCAGCAATAAGGGCTTCGCCGATGACGAACATTTATCGGCAATGATGACAATTGACTGGGGGCGCATTGATTGGTGTTTGTATCAAGTCACAAGACAGTCGTCGACTCCGCAATCTATGTGGGATGCGTGAAGAACAAGATGCATGAAACACCAGGTTTGGTTGGTAAGGCTCTTATCTGGGTCGGAGACATTTGAGAGAGGGTACGATGAAAGGGATGCGCCCATGCGCCCAGCGAACGATACAGCTTCTCGCTCTCTACCTAGGTACTTGGGTTGCTGGGTGGATACAATACCTAGGTAGGTGGAAGTGCCGTCAGCCATCTTACGCACCTCGACGATAGACACGCACAATCATGGGGATGACGTATTTCGAGGAGTGGGACGGGACTTCTCAGGGCCACCATACCTACCTACCTAGAACACAGACGAATCGCCGTACGTACCATACCTACGTTGCATGGACCTTCCCCTCGCTGTGCCACCTACGAACCCTTTCGGGCCTCTTTTAGTGCCCACTCCATCCTGCCAGCCTGTCACTGGTCGCCGGTGCTTTGCCTTGTCTCTGCCTTTGTGAGCCGGGCACACATGAGACCCATCGTGTTGGTTATAAAGAGAGTCTGCTGGCCATCTTCTCCCCTGCCTTCGCCAACACCACCACCACAATCTCACACTTCTACAACCGCAGCACACTGCAACTACTTCCAACAATTTTTCCAGACCAGCAAGCATACCGTCACCATGCCTACATACATCGTACGTCATGTCTTATTCGAGAAAGAGTGTTGCCTTGGGTCATCGACTAACACCGCCTCTCCAGGTCACCTGCAAGGAGGATGCTTCCGCTGAACAAGTTCAGGCGTAAGTCAGCCGTTTCCTGCTATCAAAGCGAGAGGAAGCGGAGCCAATATACGGCTACTAACACCAACGCAGGGCCAAGAAGCATGCCACCGACCAGGGCGGAAAGATTGGCCACGAGTACAGCCTCATCAAGGGTTTCTCGTATGTATACACCTGGGTTCAAACTGTCCCGTCATCGCACCAGCTAACGCATGCCCAGCGTTGAGTTTCCCGAGGACCAGATCTCGACTCTTGAGAGCCATGAGCACGTCAAGCACGTCGAAAAGGACCAGGAGGTCAAGACGCAATAGAAGGCTAGAGCCCGAGCTAACGAAGAGGGGGGTGGCAAGCTATACTTGACAGGCTACATAGGTACCTTAGGCGCTCGAGATTCTTGATAATATGATGCCTCGTTTGAACAGCGGTGTCCTCTGTGTATGCAACAGCGGTCTTGACTGGCGCGAGTCACAAACGCCCTCACCATGCTCATCATTGTCTTGGTCCATCCATTAGCGACGCAAGCCGCGCTTCCCGCTTGGAGTCGGCCCCCGCCGTCTTTGTCTCACGACCTCGGCGCGGGGCTACAGGGGTTCTAGACCGCCCCCTCCTTAACTTCGTCCCCCCCAAAAGCACGGAGCACACCACCCGCACTAACATCCGAGTCAAGAGAACCCCAATCCGTATGATCTCATCCTTGCCTCGATACACCCGGCAAACATCCCAACGCATTTCTTCCCCCGATCGCAACAACATCTTTTCACAGCATCTACAATGACGCCATGATACCAATCGCGAGACCATTGAGGCCACTGCGGTCCCAGAGGATACTCGTACAAGCTCATACGCCCTCGCCTTCACGTCTGCTATCTTCCTCTCGACATGCCCGTAGCCATAGCCATCGCGGCTCGTCCCACCATCAGCTGTCGCGTGTCGACGACCACGAAATCGTTCAGTTGGCCAGCAAGACGCAGCACCCCTTGAGCCTTGCAGATCTGGTCAGGTAAGAGAGCCCGATCCCCAGAGATCGTCACGTTTAACATATCCAGACATGGCCGGCCTCCTCTGAGCGAAAAGTCCCTCCTCTCCTCCGCCAACTTCACCCTCTCACTGCTCCCCATCCGCCTCGCCCACCGCATCCAGGCACTTCGCAATCTCCCCTACATCGTCGTCTCTAATCCAAACATCAGCCGCATCTACAACAACTACGTTCACTCCCTCTCGACCCTCTTGCCCTGGTGGTCCAAGGGCGGCGACAGCGCCGTCCGAACCCTAGATGACGAGATCCGCTTCACCGAGGTCCTCGCTGAGCTCGTGGCTACCCACACCGACACCATCCCTATCCTTGCCCGCGGGTTCCTCGAATGTCGTCGCTACATTTCCCCACACGAGGTCACCCGGTTTCTCGACGAGCACCTGCGCGCTCGCATCGGCACCCGCCTCGTCGCCGAGCAGCACATCGCCTTGCACTACAGCTCGCAGCCGCACTTCGACCCAGGTGCGAGCCCCACGCCTTGTCCGGAACATCCCAGCTACATTGGCGTAATTGATACGGCCCTACGCCCTGCACACATCATCGAATCCTGCGCCGGGTTCGTTGCGGATATCTGCGAGCTGCGGTACGGCGTGCGGCCACAGCTATACATTGATGGCGAGCCCGATACCACTTTTGCATTTGTACCAATGCATCTAGAATATATCGTTACGGAGCTGCTCAAGAATGCCTTTAGGGCGACCGTGGAACACAGGGATAATAAGGAGCCCATTGTAGTCACGATCGCGCCGGAGCCGCCTAGGCTAAACCAGCTCTTGAACATCGAGGTACCCAAGGAAACGAGAGGCGAGTTTCGGAGCGATGCCATTAAGCCGCTCGAAGACAACGTGCCGGGTGTGACGATCCGAATCCGGGATCGCGGAGGTGGCATTGCTCCCGAGGTGCTGCCCAACATTTGGTCGTACTCCTTCACCACCTTTTCCGACGAAGATGAGTTCCCAGGGTCTGACAACGGCTTGAGTATGATATCCGGAGCTAGCGCTGGCGGCAGCTCCATTGCAGGTCTTGGGTATGGCTTACCGCTCAGCCGGGCATACGCCGAGTATTTTGGTGGTGGCATTGCCGTCCAAAGTTTGTACGGCTGGGGCACTGATGTCTACCTTCGACTCAACGGCGTTGGCAAAATCCAAGAACGCAACCCAACGTAGACATAGCCCCATTTGAAATAACAACATCACAGAGCCCAATCACAAAGCGCAGCTGTTGCCACCGTCTCATATAGATTAGTTGAACTACTAGGAGATGTATTATCAGGTGGAAAGTGTCGTTCCACATTCTGTGCTGTGCTAATACTGAGCATGCCCCCCAACCAATACACGTTGTAAAATAGAAAAACATAACAGACAAAACATGCCCGAGTAATAAACTCGTCTCATAGACCAATCGCAACGCCCCACTGTTTCTTTTTTTTTTTTGACTAGCCTCCTTTGCAAATGTCCTCATTATACGATAGAGAGCAAATGTGACCTCTTTATGTACGATTCTCAAATACATCTCCTTCTCTTTACATGTTGGCCAATTCGTTGTCAATCTGGCGGTCCATGAATGTCCTCCTCTCGCCAACAAGCCCGGTCTGCAGTCTTTGCTCGACTAGAGCGCGCACCTGCTTCTTTGTAACCGTATCTAGGTCCACTTCGCGCAGGACACCCTGGATAGCTTCGATAATCATGCCGTCGTCAGGGCCCTGCATATTGCCACGCTGGAAGTCGAACGACGAGGTTGACTGGGCAGCAGCGTGGGGCCGGTTCAGACCGAGAGCTGACTGCGAGCGGTTGGCACCAAGTCCGGGAGAGGGGTTAGCCTGGCCGCGTAGGTTGGAAACACTCGGCCGACTGCTGGGAAAGTCCTGGAAGGGAGTCTGGCCGCGATTTATATCGTGGGTGCCCAGAGATGCCATCGACTGCCTGTTGGCCATGGTCTGGTCGTGGTGGTACGGGCTAGCGGCACCGGATGCTCGTGCCATGTGGCCAAAAGGCGCGGGTGACTGGGGCGGCATGTATGTGTTATTGCGGTTCATGCCAGTGAGAACGGAACCTTGGCGAACAGACGAATAAACGGAGCGGATCTCGTCCATCTCGTACTGGTCGTCGTAGCCCATGTCCGCTTTTTCCATGTAACCGCCGCGTCGGCCAGGGAGGTTGTTTGCCATGGCATAGTCGTCCCAGCGCTGCAGAGGAATGCTCCTGGGATCGAAACCCTCGTCATCGACGGCGACGATCTGCTTATTGCCCTTCTCTCCGATGACGATACGGGTGTTGCCCCATGAGAAGTTGTCTTGGTTCCAGAAAGAGTATATGGGGAGTGCGAAAGAATAAATGGGAAACGCAATGATGTAGATGATCATCCACCCAATGTGCTGCCACTGTCTCTTGAGGATAAAGATGAGGGCCTGAAGACCGTACACAGCCGCAAGCATTATGATGGAAATTATGGGGAATTGGCCATTACGGCTAGCGGCTAGGTAGATCATGTATCCAAGGTAGATAGTGGTGGCGGGGAGGATAATTGTTCCAAAAAGATCGATGAAGACGACGAAACGCATGCTGAAGCAGCAGAAACCGCACATCTCCTTGAGTTTCATCAGCTCAAAAAGGTTGTGGATAGTCGAGTTGATCCAGCGACGACGCTGGGAAAGCAGGACGCTCCAGGACTCGGGTGCCGCGGTTTGACAGTAGGCATCGGGAATGAATTTGTACTTCATAGACGGGAAGTATTTGGTCATCAGGGTGGTCAGGTACCGATCCTCACCGAGTGACAGCAGGTTCTTCTTATGGAGAGTGTCGACGTCGCACACAGCGTAGTCACGGATAACACCGTCGGCGATAATCAGCGGCTTGCCTTTGTCGACGGTACGCAAGCGATACATGGTGAAACTGGAAATATTAGCTGACTCACGCTGTACAGGGCGATCGTCAAGATACACTTACCATCCAGGCAAACAGGTGACACTGCCAAAGAGAGACTCGAAGGCCTTGGCCAAGTTGTGTGAAATGAAATACTCGTAAACCTGGATCATGGTCCACCAGGATTTGTCGTCGTTCTGCAGACCAGTCTCGCCACAAATACCGGCAATCTTAGCATCATTGGCACATGCTGAAACCAGTCGGTTGAGCGAGTCTTCCCGGACACACGTATCGGCGTCGACCATCATCAAATATTCGTACAGCTCGGGATCCACGCCGATAATGTTGTTGATCTGGTGGAACATTTCCAGCTCAAGTGGGCTCATGGGAGCTCTGTGATGGACTCGGTTGAGGAAACTCATCAGGAGAATTTGGGAGTCACGCTTGCCTCTGTTACCCGGCTTGGACTTGGTTTGTTCCGACTCCTTTCCGCACTTGACCACAACGAGGTAGGGAACAACGTTGCCCTCAAACTCGTACAACCCGGAGTAGACCTTGCCGTAGTTCAGCTGCTCGCTGCCTGTGCCAACAGACTTGAAGGGCAGCGCAGGAGGATCAACTTTGGGGTCGACACCGAGGATGTCCAGGACAATCTTTGGCGTGGGACGGTCGTTTCCAGCACCGACGATAATACCGTCGCAAATAACGCAGATGAGTTTCCGTTTGTTATCGTATTGAAGGGCGGTGAGGGAATCAAGTGCTTTCCGCAACGAGTCTTCACCTTCAGTGTAGGCCGGCACCTGGCAGATAACGAACTTGTCTTGAGGTGCAGGGCGACGCTTCGAGCCGAACTGCAAAGCAGCCAGGAACTTGACGAGAATGACGGAGCAGAGAATGATGGTCATCGCCAACATGATGTAGTTGTTCGTCTGACACCTGGCAGAGTAGCGGAAGTCCGGAATGCCAACGTAGAAGAGATTTTTGATGCAGTTCAGGCTGTTCTGGACAGATGCGTTCTCGGTTGCGTTGTTAGCTGCGCTCTTAATGATTCCATTCCAGTTGTCGGTGACATCCTCGCCAGCGTTGCTCTCAACGGTGCTGACAATCTGTGCGTTGAGGAACTTGGCCGAGTCGAGACGCTGGAATACCTCCAGAGTCTTGAAGTAGTTGGTCAGGTCATACACGCCGCCATTGTAAATGACCCACATGTGGCCGTTGTTTTGGCCGTCAGAGTAGATGTCCGCCTTGTCCCAGACAAGGTCTCCCTTGTAGAACTCCCTCATTTTGGGCAGCAGCGTCGTGCTGTACCAATCAGTTGAGCCCAAGGCACTGGTACGGTCATCGGCCAGTTGGCCGGACTTGTGAATGCCTATGATGTACTCGGGGGTGTTGTTGTACTGGAGCGTAGTGGTTGGCGCGATACCAAGACCCGGGCACACCAAAGGCAGGGGAGGAGGAAAGTAGTCGTCCATGTTCATTCCAGCGAATGGCATCATGTTCTCCTTGGTAGTTTCGATGGCGGTGTCGGAGTGTTGAATCTTCCAGAACTTGGAGATGTCGTACACACCGCCGCGGAAGCTGACGTAGAAATCGTTTTGGCCAGTGTGATAGGCAACTTCCTTTGCGCTCCAGGCTTTGTCGAAATTGGGACACAAGATCTTGCCAAAAGCGACAATCCAGAATACGATAGCAGCGTTGATGAGAACGATGAACCAGACGAGGGTGAGCTTCTCACGCCACGCCATGCGAACATCGGGACGCTTCATGCGGCCGACAAAGCTGAGTAAAGGAGATGGGATCCAAAACGTCCAGAACCAGACTATGGCAACCCAGATACGGCGATCCTTGTCCATCGTCTTCTCTTCTACGTGCTTGCCATCAGCGATTTCTGGGTCTATCTGACCAACGAACTCGCCCTCGTTATTGTAGAAGACCTGGCCCTTGAAAGTGTCACCCTTGGTACCGAGACCATAGTCTCCGGCCTGGACATTGCGCATGCCAGAAGGAGCGACGGATGGGGCACGCATGGCAGCATTATGGGCGAGAGTGTGTTGGGAGAGGTTGCCCTGGCTGAAGTTGCGCTGGTGGGCGATGAGATGGTCCCGGCTACCGTTGGGGGTTGTGTCCAGCATGGGCGTCGGGAAGTAGCCGCTGCCATTCGCTGAGTAGCCGGACTCGAGATTGTTGACGGCCAGGACGTTGCCCATGCCGGGGAGGTTGCTGTCCAAGGGCTTCATATCGAGCATACTCTCAGCTTCCCACCAGGCGCTCTCACGAACCCAGACGCGCTCTTTGCCGACCACGACTTCGCCGTTAGTCCAACCGCGTTCGAGAATCCACGTCTCGATGCCTTCGCGGCCATCCTTACAGCCCAGAAGAGCGTAGCGTTGCACGAACTCATCAATGTCGAAGTCAGCAGTGAAATCGAGGTTTTTGTTACGTCTGTTAGCCCACTCGGGCAATCGCCACGAACGAAGCTGGCGAGAAACTGTACCCGCAGACCATGCAGAATTGATCGAGGGAAGAGCCGCCAGACTTGCCGGCGAGTCGTCGGTAGGGTGGATGGAGAGGTGGTACCACACGCGGCTAGAGCTTAGCAGATTCGAGAGGTCAAGGCGGCCATCACGTCCCAAGTTAATGCCCTGGCCGGTAGTTGGGAAGAGCAGCCTCTTGAGGAAAGCGTCTTCATCGGCAGAGTGACCAATCTTCTCAAGAACCTCTTCCCGCTTCTCTAGGGCGTGCTGGCGGTCCCTACCCGTAGCACTAGTCATGATGCCAAGCTCGTGCCCAACCTCGCCAATGGCAGCCTGCATCTCCCGCACGACGGTGCTGCCAGCGGCGGAAACTTCAACACCGTCAGCAATCATCTCCGAATTGATTCCCAGAGTATCGTCAAATATGCCACGCATAGCCAGCGCCTTGCCCAAAGTCGGGTCAGGGATGTCTAGGATGGTGATGCAGACAGTATCGCCTTCGCCGTTGGAAGTGGGTGTGCGAGCACCTCCACCACCAATCGACTCAGTACCGTCTCTGATGCGGACCATCTGAGCAGAGATAGCCTCGTTGGCCTTCGAAATGACCCAGTCAACCAGAGCCTCGTACAGGCCGCCGACCAAAGTTGCCCGGTCCTCGGTTGTGCACTGCGTGGCAAGAGTCTCTGGGTCCATGCCAAGCAGGCCGCTCACATCCTCGCAAATCTCGTCAAAGACGTCCTCATCGAGGTTGTAGTCGAGGGTGTCGCCAAGCTTCAACAGACCGGCGAGGGTGGAAATGAGGTTACGATGAGCAGAACCCTTGATGCCGATGTCTTTAAGGGCAGATCGGAAGTCGTCGGCGGCGGCCGCATCATCAGCCGTTGGAAGGTAGGATGGCGGTTCGTACGTGCCGGATTTTGCAAGCAGAGCGTAGCTGGAGGCTGACTTGAGGCCCAGGAACTCTCTCTCTGCGGGTGTTGATGCGGAGGTCAAGAGATAGTAGAAAACGTCAAAGGCGCGGTAACCAGCCTCTGCAGGAATGTTCAAAAGACCCTTGGTGGTGTCGATGCCACCCTGGGATAAGGCAATGGCGGCTCCATGAAGGCTGCCGGTCAGGTTTAGGGTGAGGGTGACGCCAAGAGCTGTCTGACGGGGCGTGGAGGGGTTGTAGGGTGTAGAGCACCTCAAGAAGGGCTGGATGGCTTCTAACGACTTGTAGAGGGATGACGGGAGCGACAGTGGGAGAGACGATAGAAATGGCGTCAAGAGAGAAGGGCACGATGTGTGAAGGGAACTATGTGGCATTAGCATTTATCAGCGGTGTAGCGGTTGTTTTGGATTTCATACCCAAGAACAATGCATCCGTCTTCAGCACGTCTCCGAGCATGTTCCCAAGCTCTCGCGCCGAGGGCAGCATCTATGGTGCCTCCTGTCCTCCCATCGGGACCCGTCTGGGATGCAGTGAGCCATGTGTTGACGACGAGACTCGTACCAGCGTCCAATTTGAAGGGTTGGGACGACAAGTAGATGTTGTGAATGGCGTTAAGGAGGGTCGTGGTAGAAAACTGAGAGGGTTGCTGTCCGGCACGAGGCCCTCCGAGGCCCTCCGAGGCCACCGAATACATGGACATTCGACCGTTCGCCATGGCAATGGATTTCAGGTCGTGATGTCCGGCGTGGACAATCACGGAGAGGGACGAGACGCTGTTCCGGAGTCGTTTATGTCGTCAAGCAAGGGGCTGGCAGTGATGTAAACAAGAAGTCAAGGTTTCGGAAGCGAATGTGGTAGGCTCGACGATTAAGGGTAAATCGAGGGCGAGTATGGGTGAAGCGAGTGGCTCGATGAGTATATGATTAAGGTCTCGTTAGGGATTGAGGGAGATGGCGTATATCCTGACCGATTTGTCGCCGAGCAACGGTGAGAAGGGTGATGATGTGTGAAGCTGCAGCCGAATCTCTCCCTTTCTTACTTTCCAAGTGAAATTGAGGAGCAAAAAGGCAAAAAGGAGGAGATACAACAAACTAGCGATGGGACGATCAGCCAACCAGAGCGAGTGAGGCGGCTGTACGAGATAACAGTAACAACAAGGATGAAGTTGAAGGTTCTCTCGAACGCTTCTCTAGTCTGAAGTTGAGGGTAGAAGAAAGTGGCGAGCAAAAGGGGGAAAGGCAATGGAGTGGCAGCAACGGGGGAGTGAAGGCAGAGAATGACCTTGCTTTCCTCTAACTTCTCTCTCACTCGCTTTCTTACTCGGGCACCCGCTAAACGGGTAGGGTAACTAAGGCACAGGCGCAGAAAACGGCTAAGGCAAAGCGAGGCGAGGCAAGGTTAGGGAGCTGCAGCGTGGGTCTCGTAATGATGGATCATGGGGAAAGAGATGCTCTTCACTCACTCCCTAGACCGGTATTGCTACAAGGTGGCTCAAAGTATCATTCTCCCAAACATAGTAGGACAATCTACATAGCGTACGTAGCCCCAGTGTCCGATCTCGACTCGACTCGACCTACGCACCCAGGGCTTAGCACCCGATACAGTGATACATTAGGTGTGTCTGGCACGAGGAGCACTGTGGGATCAATTTCTTTATTTTTATTTACTCTTCCCTCTCTCTCGCTCGTCTTCTTCCATTCCTTCAGGTTCCATGTCTTGGCCCCTGAACTACGGCTGGCGGGACGAACCAAATACGCACCATCTCATTCCAAGATACCCCAGCTCGGTCTCTCGACGGAGAAAGGGGACCCTGGCGACACTGCCGCCAAGTTCGGTTCCCTAAACTTAGCCCGGACCACATGTACCTTGCGTCAGAGCCTTCCTACGTGCACCGAAGAGGATGGAATCGCACTGTCAAGAATGGGATTTTTTCTATGGCAAGCCTCGATCCTTCATGGCTCTGTTCGGCTGGTCACCTGAGCGCTTGGTGCTATCCGACGACTGAGGAAAGGATGATCTATCAAGGATGGAGCTGGCATTGATGGCTTTTAGTTCAGCATCCTCTGCTCCCAGATTGCTGAGTTTATGGGACTAGGGGCGTTGCTAAGCAGGTATTGCACATGATGGCCTGTCTCGATGTCTCCGTCTAGCATGGTATGGCAGCAAATGCAACATGCAACACCAGGGAAAACGACGTGGATCCAAGTACCAACCCCTCGAAGAGTGAGACCCAGCTGCAAAGGCAAGAAGGCAGTAGGTAGTCCTCACAAGCCAAGAGTCCACAGTTACCAGTCCGCACATATGATGTCGTGGCTACTGAATGCCCGACTAGACTGGGAGGCTGTAGATCCAGCCGCGGGCAGTCCTTTTCTTGGAACAAATACGAGCCCCGGTGGTGGCAGTGGAGGGGCGAAAGTCGGCCCACCCGTCCGATGGAATGGTGGGAAGCGCATAACAAGCACGAATGCTGCTACCACGTATATCGTACTCCGTCCCTGTGTAATGCTGCTGCTGCTGATGCCACTCCTCGCTAAGGGGGGCAGGTCGTGCGATGCGAGCAAGGATGTAAACCAAACCCGCCGTGCACGACAAAGCAGGTTCAAGCACTTGCCCAGTGCCTGAACGATGGGACGGGATGGGATTGGATTATCGGATCTTAGTAGGCGCAGCCAACGAAGGGGAGCCCTGCAACAGCTCAGCCGTGTCCATATACTCGGCATACTTCAACGATAGTCGACAGCGGTAGCATGACAACGGGCCACACAGGTGTCCGTAAGCATTGGAGTTCGGTACCGGTATGTTGCGTACACAGTATTATGTAGTCTTTCGAACCAATTTTCATGTGTGCAATCAAGTGAAGTGCTCGTGTGGCTGGTGCAGCAGACTGACTTTCTTGCTTTGCAGTGAACTACATTGTACAAGACCAGAGGCCGGAGTTGTACCTGTACATCTGATGAGACTACGGGCGGCACGCGGGTGCTATTTGGTGTTGCTCGTATTGACTGACCTCAGTCTTTGCCTTGTTTTTTTGTTGTCCCCGACCAAATCCCCACCTCGACTTTTCTTCTTCCTCACGCCCCGAATTGGGTTGGCGGGAGTGCAAATATCGCCACCAGCACCATCTCATGCGAAGCCGCGACAATAGCCAGCACCGTATTATAGCTTTGAGACTTTGGTTTCTTGCTTGATGATGCTGCGTGAGCATGGTCCATTGGCTGGGTGGAACTCCGAGGCTGGCTTGGCCGGATGGAGAGTGGTTGGGGTGAGGGCTGTGCTGCATATTCGATATGTGTGTGTGTGTTGGTGACTTTTTTTGTGTTCCCGGCGGATGGTGTTGATGCTTTAGCTTGCTTTGTGGAGTCGGTGGAAAGGTATGGAGGCTCGTTGTCGAATTCGATTCGATGCATACCTACCTAACTCCTATGGTACTCTACGTACCTAGCTAGTATGGGGTGTGGGAATGGAGACACAGGAAACAGGGAGGTAAAGCCCACCATGTGAAGCATTGATCACTGGACAGGGCACCTCGCCGAGTCTTTTTTTGGTTCTTTTAGCGGCCGATGGGAATTGACCCGCTGCTTCCAGACCCCCCTTGGTATATATCCCTGTACCTAAGCCCCTTTTCTCAATTTTCTTCCACTCTCCAGTAGGGTACGTACCCAAAGCTACCAAGAAAGCATCGGGGACATCGAGGACCTAGCACCCGCATCACGGGGAAACCCGCGGTACACAAATCTTCCACACTGTCTGGACTGTGTATCGGCTGTATGGATCTTCCTAAGGTATTTTCAATGGTTCAAGGTACATCCTACAACCTACAGCAGCCCAGCAGCCGCCCGTCTTCTCCACTACCACATCCAAGCACTGGGGACGTCCGCCACGGCTTGGACCGTCTGTCATCCCAACACCATGGATGGATCAACAGCACAATCCCGCCATCCTGCCTCATCCATCATGCAACAACACATTCATTACCCAAAACTCAAAAGCACCTTCAGCATACCGGCGGGTGCAGTGATGGACTTCGGAACAAGCACGGTTTGCCTTACTTACAGCCACACCCGCGGCGCAGACTAAACAAAGCATTGGGGGCAAACCACAATTGAATCCAGCATTCCCAACGCACCTGAACACCGAGATCATTGGAGTATTACTGATTCCTACATTTTTTCCAGACTGATCATCACTTAATCTTAATCATCAAATGTCGACCTATTTGTGAACAGTCAAGTGTTTGACTTTGGGAGATCCCCATGAGCCATAACCCTGAACACAATCGATATCCGAGTGGTTGGGTCTTCAGGTAACACGCCCCGGAGCGGTGTCAGCCGCCTCCTCGGGCCTTTCACTATTCTCATGTGCTCACTCGTCATTGTTTTTCTTCTCTGATGGGCCTAACCCCCAACGCTTCTGCTGACTTTCATAGACGTTTGGCATTCAAACCCGGGCGGTCCCCTCGGGACTCTTGCGGCGCGCTGGAGACGCCTACCAGCGCCACATCCAAAGTCCCAGCCGTCAGTTTCATGCCGCCGACTACTTTGTCAACCGCCAGGCTCAACACCAGCCCCCGGGTACCGTGTCAACGGCCGTTACGATCGTAAAGACGCCGGACATTCGGCACATCAGCTCACACCTGTCACCACCATACACTGCCACTGAGACTCGAGTGCCCGTTGCCCTCAGCGTCGTGCCAGCCCGAGCGACGAAACGTACATAGTGGTAAGTCGCGTTGCCAGACGCGTGCATTCTTCAAACTGGGCGTGCCACGACTAGGGCCACACAGCATTCTCGACAGGCCACCAATACTTACCACCCCGGCTGGGTCCAATGCTACTCGATGTTGCCATAGTTGGTAAGGGCACAAGAGACACAGTGCGGTGTGAACAGGGCCTTGTCGACCGAGACCGTGAAAAGAAGAAAGGGGAGAAAAATCGAGAAGAAAGTCGGGCAGGGGTGCCGTCCGTCAGTCATTTCATCTTTCCCGATCGAGCCCCCCTTGAGGCGGCATCGAGTCTTAAGAATGGACCGAGGCCACACTACAAGGGACAGAGAGAGAGTATGTATACCGGTAGTGTACAGGTACGCCAGCAGCCTTCGAGAGTCGCGTAGAGTCTAGGGGATAATCCACAGTATGTGGGTTGTGCCGGTGGCACAGAGTTCGTATGGACTGCTGCTGCGTCTTATGTTCGTACCGCCCGCCGGACCGAGAAACGGGTGCGTGTAAAGAAAACAATCCCCTTTCCTGGTTACCACACTCTGCCTTCGCTCGCTGCCGCTGTCACACCCCCGTCACACCCACCCACTCTCTTGCCTGTGCCTCCCTTCCTTACTACAGAGGCGAAGAGTGAAAGAGAAAGAGCAGAAGTGTGAGAAGTCGAGACTGGCTTGACCTTGGAGAGCAATCGCTTCGTTCGTTCCGTGCATCAAGCTTCTTCCCACATTCAGCCTGCCATCCCCTATCGCTATCCCAAATCCTCACCTCGTTTTCTTCACTTTCTTGCCGCACACTCGTTTGCTTGTCTCGCAACTGTACATCGTCTTTCGTTTCGGGTTTCGACAACACCTTCCTGTTTACTCCCTTGCCGTCACGACTAATCCAATCACCTGAGATTCTATACACTCAGTCTTCTTTCTCCCCGACGAACCTCGACTAGTTCATCTTCGACTCAAGTCTCTCGCTCGACTCAACCCTGCCATTGATTGACTAAACAAACG